TTAAATGTTTGGCGATGTTCGACGTTCCAATGGAGGACCAATAATTGGAGTAACTACTTTGACCGATCGTTCAATATTGTTTCTTCAATTGTGCATTACACGAGTAATTTTCAACTGTCTTTAATGATTTTCCAATGTTCTATACGGTTTCATTCGGTGTACTTTCAACGAGAGCTGGCGACCTGAACCGTCTCGTCTCAAGGCAAGCATTGCACTGATCTAATCGTGGATTAGCGTGCGAAACTTTTCTAGCTCGCTCGAAACGACGTTGTTTTCAAGCTGATGTAAGTAGTAACACCTTTACCGACGGACGAGCAAACATCGACTGACACGTAGCGCACCTCGTCGTCTGAGCAGACAAATGGACCTGCTGGCTTGGTTGACGCGCGCTTCTTCCAGGTAACGTGTTGGCGGATTATTTTCACGAGAAATATCTTCAAAAGAGTTGTCATAATTGATCCTGAGCCTTTCATTCACCAAATATTTTCTGCCCATATTAATTTATTAAGCTCGTGACGTGTATCGCCTCGCATCGTTTACTCCCCTGCAAATGTTGTCTCAATTTCTTATACGTCACTTGCCACCAACAGGGTGTTATATACACACATAGTTTACTTTATTAATTGTAAGACCAAAGATAATCGTCATTAGCTTATCATACATTATCTTTTTTCTAATATGAAGCCTGCCGTTAATTAGAAACGTTAATTAGATTAGAAGAGTCATGTAGTATTTTACAATTTTATATGCACTTTTGTTGAGTCACAGTTGCAGAATGCACTTATAAAATGACGATGATCGAAGGTCACTGATGTATTTCTGCTTCCTTTCGTGACAAGTAGTAGCTCGTAGTAGTTCTTAAGTTCTCGTAAAAGTTCTTAATAATTCATCACTTTCTCGCAGACAGCATCGTGAATTTTTTAAACCGTGACTGAAATTACAACAGTTTATAATCGTAATATGAACTTTCGTTGAAAAAAAAAAAAAGTAGTTGACAATTAATTACCGGCTAAAAATCTGCATCGAATGCGAATTCATGCATAATAAATTTATGCATCTCTTCTTGCCGTGCTTAAATTGCGTGTCTGTGAAGATTTTTTTTTTTTATTTTTCGTAAATCCATTGTTCGAAGTTATAAAATAATAATGCCAGTGAAAATGTTTTGTACCGAGGCTCGTAAAAATAAGTATTTTAAAAATTCCATCATTTAGAAATTAGGTGTTCGGTAGTAAGCAATTACAATGAATCGTCGTTCGCAAATTCGCAATTTCGCGCGAAAATTATGACAAAGCGCTCCGAAACGGATTTATTCATCTCTTCCAGCATGCGTTCCGATTTTTTAAAACGCGTCTACGTATACTTGAATATTTACACCATTTTATAAGCTCGCTATTCGTAAACAACATGATTTGCAAGTCAAACGAGGTTCATTCGATCGACAAAGTTCTCAGCGTCTCGTTTAATCGGCCATCTTGGCAACTTTGATACGCTTTTGTGAACCGGCTGAAATGAAACTTGCGTAATCAAGAAACAACGGAATAAAATTTCGACATGCACGCTGCTATGCTTTGTTTACATAAACCGCGAGATTTGAATGCTGTAAAATTTGTTTGTTCATTTGCCAGCAAATCATCGACGAAGGATATATGTTGTTTGAGAAAGTTCAAGATTTGTTTGTTTAGTGTTCCTGCAAAGAAATAATATGAAACAAATCCTCTTCTAATAGCAGAAGATTAATCACTTCATTCTTAATGATGGATTTAACCCGCGGGTAAAATTTCAAGCGATCAATATATGTTTTGATTCTACTAATCGCATTTAAATCATAAAGGACGACGTTAAAACAAGGGGAGATATTGTCAACTGTGTAATTTTCCTTAAATTTGCCATCTCTCATTACAAAATTTTTCTCGTATTTGAATATCAATAGACTATTTTCAAAAGATTGAACCTTTACAATAGAATTCCTCCGTACACGACGGTTATTAGTTCCCTTATACGTATATTCTACCGAGGTCATTTGCAATTCAAATGGCCCTGTCCTCTCATGTTTTACATGCAAAGGCATGTGAGCATTTAACCGATTTCTAAACGTGTGTCCATAGTAAAACCAGTAGCCTTATCTGTCGTAAGGGGAAAGAAAATAGATAACAGGACTGTTTGTGTCCTGAATCGTATCATTTTTAATTCTAACTGTTATTTCCATTCTAAATCCTCTGTGACTTTCTAATTGACGCGTGTATTACGTTGTGTACAGTATTAACAAAGACGGGACTTCAAAGTAAGCGCATGAAAAACAATATAGAAGAAAATGTCAGAAATGTAAACGTCAGAAATATTCGAGAGAAAATTAGAACATGAAGCAAGGATGAAAGCATCTGCGAATTAGCTTACTGCTTTGAGGATCAAAGATAAAAATTGGCAAAAACATCAAACCTCATTGGTAAACAGTTATTTTAGAAGTGTTTGCTCTTCAATCTATTTCAGTAACATACATCTTATTGATGTAAGAGATAAGTGTTAAGACCTCAAGCACCCATTTTCGTGATTACAATTGAATAACGCACGATGCATCGATATGAAAATCATGTTATACTCGATGTTTGATTTAAGACGTACAGAAGTTGCTAGACATTCATCTCCATTTTTCCAATTATTTATCTTCACTCACGAATGCAAAGTTACTAAATTGGAAGAATGAAATATCTATTGTATTATGTAATTATTAAAATTCGCATACGCAACCTCTCCAATTTGAAAGTCCCTCGGTATGCCGTGTATTAAAATTTAAAAATTGGGCTCGCACATTCCATTCGTTGTCCCGGTTTCGTGCCGGTGTTAATGAAAAATAGCAGATTCGGTCATGTCGGAGGAACCGGTTTTGTGTGTCGTTGCGTCACCGGACGCCGAGTATTCATGTCGTTCGATGCAACAACGATTTTCATTCCAGACAATCGCAACGGTAATTATTGCGCTCTACCAATGCACTTGTGCTCTCAAGGTCTCTCCTCCGCCAACGTTTCATCATAGACACTTTTCACGGCCAAATGGGGGCCTTTATTAAACGTCAACAATTTGACGGATCACGTAAGTCGTTCGAGAATTACCAATCGCTTTCCAATTAAATCAGCTGCTTTAGGTCTTGATTAGTTGAAACTCTGAGAAACGAATAGCGGCTGAGCGCAAGGAGGATTCGAAAAAAAGCAACGGGACTTTAAATTTATGCGCGTGAAAACACGCCTAAGTAGTAGATGATATGTTGATTTTATCACAGTTAAATCATATCCTTCTCATTCTTACATGTTGGTAAGAATTTTAATGAATGATATTCTACCCGATTAACTTTTAAATCAGTCTTTTCCTGATGGAACATATTGATCCCTTAATAAAAACGTGCCTTAGTTGCGATTTTTCGAAAATTTATTTTGTTCTTCTGAAGATTAATAAAGACCGTATGATTGTCTCATTTATGAGCACTGAAACAAGTAGAATAAAATAAAAAGATTATTCAAGAGAACTGATTAGGAATAGTTAGAATGGAATTAAAGAGCAAGGTAAATTATGCCTGTGATAAATACGAGTTTACGCAAGATTTACCAATATGGTATAGAACAGTTTAGCTGCTAGTAGCCACAGTAACAGTATCCGGAGCTACTCTGCCATTGGAATGCAATAAGAATACCAACGTGTGCCAATGAACCATGAAAGGTCCTTTCATTTTGTTGTCCTATTGTGATTGCATAATCGCGATAATTGCATCCGTCAGGATCTTGTTTCAACAGCGAATGGCATAGAATCGTTATTTGTCAACTTTTCTTGTGGAATTTTTTGCTTGAAAGATGTAATAAACATTTTGAGTGTAATAGAATAATTTAGAAAATAATCATTTCTTTAATGTCAACATTTCTTGCATTTCTGACATAGAATATATATACTTGTATCTTTTAATTGCAAGATTTATATTGTTATCCTTTAGTTGCAAATATTAACAATTGAACAATTCTGAATAAATTCTAATGAAGTTAGTTCAGTACTGAATAGTGTATATGCATTTGTAATATCATCCGTCTATTTTTAAATAGAAAATATGTACGTTTAACAAATCTTAGACTGATATTGAATCATTCCAATGATTAAGGAGTTCTGTGAGTCATCTTTCTTCTTCTTAGCTATTCAAAATAAAATGTTCTGATCAACTATATTGTTAACTTTTCCCGACCTTGATTCTTAATTCTTATTTCTTATTACAAATCTTTTTGAACTTTGATATTTTTTAACATATCACTTATCATTTTCGTCGCTTAAGAAGTGAAGGGCATCTCATTATTTCACGTGATGTTAAATCGATGAAGGGAGCGTAATCAGACCATCAATCATATCATTATGATGTTAGCTCCCTCATCTCGAGAAAGCATCAGTCAAGGATATGTATCATTCGAGGAGGTATCTTCCGTTTTAACAAGTAATAAAATTTAAAATAATGCAATATTTACTCGGTTTATAAGATTCTGCGATAATAATCACGAGGAAAAAGTTCTTCGACTCTTTCACGTCCGTTTTAATTCATTTGAATTTCCGCCTTAAATTCTGTAAACGCAGCTGAAATTTACTCAACATGATCAATACGTACCACATTCTTCCTAAGCCCCTGAATTCATTAAATTGAAAGATTTTGAAGAAACTCTGAATATGTCTTGGATTCCTAATCTGTTACACAGAAAGAACTCAACTGAATGTCCTAGAAGGGAGAAAAAAAAAGAACATTGCATTAAAAATATAATTAGGATAACAGAATATAATTAAATGATTTGTTTAATTGCAGTATTACGCAATGGAAATCGTTTGAGTATTCTAGTTTTGTTCCCCGCAATTTGATCACCTTGAGATTTTATCTGAATTTTGCAATCATCCTATTACACGCCGCCATTTTGAACAAAGAGTAAGAACTACCATGTGTTTTCTTGTTTCGTGTAACCGAGCCAGCCCTTCTACGCTAATTAACCCCCTTCCATCAACTTTGCATATGTACGCGTTACATTTTTTGCAACTAGGCGCGGCGAGGAATTTACATATGTACATTTCTTACGGTAGAAAACTCGGTATCTTTCTCTCGGTACATCTTAAACTGTATTATAAACTCGTTTCACTTGAAATAGTTTTTCCGTCAAATAAGTTCGAATGTAAATTGCTTCTTTTCAAGTATTTTATCTTGAGATACGT